CTCGGGTTTGAGGTCCCGGTAGATGATGCCGTGGGAGTGGAGGTGGCCCAGGGCGAGTGATGCCGTGGGAGTGGAGGTGGCCCAGGGCCAGTGTGATCTCTGCCAGGTAGAAACTGCAGAGACGGGACAGGGAGAGGGCAAGAGTGACGTGGGGGAGGCAGGCCCTCGGCATCCCTGGAGCCCCCGGGAGAGAGGTGGGAAGTAGCACCCACCAGGCCGTGTCTTCCAGGAAGATGCCCTCTCGCTCCAAGTGTGTGAAGAGCTCGCCGCCTGCGACACAAACACGTCAGCAGCCGTGTGCTGGGACCCAGCTCCTTTGTTCTCCGAGTCTTGGTTTCCTCTTGGGGGAGTGGGGCTCATGATTCCCGCCCTACCTGCCTCACAGAGCTGCCGTGGGGGTTCAATTCAATTCAGCAAACATCTACCGACGCCTACTCGGTGCCTGGCCCTGTGCTGGGTGAAGCTGGGGACAGAGATAAAGAGACCCAGCCATTGCCCTCAGGATGCTCAGTCTAACGGGAGAAGACATGCCAGACGGAGGCAGCAGCTCTGAGAGCTTAACCCCAAACACCTCACAGAGGAGACAAGGGAGGACAGAATTAATCCCAAGGTGAGGGGACAGGAAGGCCTGGCAGCAGTGGGACCTAAAGGGGGTGCTGAGATGGCGCTCAGGACTGGAGCTCACAGGGCTCCTTGGTGCAGATGGGGTAGGGGGAAAAGCAGGCCTGGACCGCTCCATGGCGAACAGGAGGCCCCCAGGAGAGGCCAGGCCAAGGAGGTCAGGCTGTATCCGGGCAGTTACAGGGAGCCATGAATTCTGAGGAGTGTTGGGAACAATGCCAGGCTCTGAGGCGACGACCTGGGAGTTAATGGAGGAGACACTCGGAGAGGCTGAGCCGGAGTTAGGACAGCTGTGCCCTCCCCCTGCCCTGGAAGAGTGGAGAGGATGGAGCCATGGCAGAGAATGACCTAACTGGCTCTGGGACCTGACTGGATGCAGGTAGATGATGCCTTGGAGTGGAGGTGGCCCAGGAGGAAGGAACAGGACACGAGGGGACAGTGGAAATGGATAAAACAGCCCTCTAGACTTCTAAACAAACTCCCACATTCCCATCCACCCCCAACACAGGCGAGGGACACAATAGGCATCAGATAGATGTTTGCTGAATGAATGAACAGATGAATGAATGAACGAATGAACGAATAAAGGGATGGACAGAGACTGACAGATGGGTGTGGGGGCCCCCTAGCTGTTCTACACACATCTCTCCAGGCTTCCCTCAGACCCCCAGACCTTCCTGTGCTGGTTCCTTGGCCCTGCCCATGCCCTCGCCGGGCCCCCCCATACCACTGAGGCACTCGAGGATGAGGTAGAGCTTGCCACCAGTCTGGAAGGCATAGGCCAGCTCCACAATGAAGGGGTGCTTCACTGACTCCAGAATGTTTCGTTCAGCCCGGGTGTGCGCCGTGTCCTTGGCGTTGCGCACAATCTTGGCCTGGAGAGGCAGGAATCGGTTAGAAGGTGGATCCCGGGGGCTCCTTCCGTCCCTCCAGCCATTATCCTCCAGCCACCCTCTCTCAACCTCTAGCAGTTTTCACAACCTCAGCACTACCGACGCCTTGGGCAGGGAGTTCCTTGGTGTGGGGGGCTGCGTCCCTGGTCTCTACCCACTGGGTACCATTAGCACCCTCTCTAGTCACGATTCCAAAATGTATCCAGGCATTGCCAAACGTCCCCTGGGGGGCAAGGCTGCCCATGCTCGAGAATTACTGTCAAAACAATACCCAGTCATGAGCTACATACTGACATTTCAGTCAACAACAAAGCACATCTATGACGTTGGTCCCACAAAGTATAATGAAGCTAAACATTTCTGTCTCCTAGTGATGAGGTAAAGTCCTAACGCAACCCATTTCTCGAATGTTTGTGGTGATGCTGGTGTAAACAGACCCACTGTGCTGCCAATTATATCAAAGTATAGCACTGCCCTGGCTGGTTTGGCTTGTTGGTTAGAGCACCGACCCGAGGACTGAAGGGTCGTGGGTTCAATTCCCAGTCAAGGGAATTGTGCCGTGGTTGCAGGCTCAATTCCTGGACCTGGCTGGGGCATGTACGGAAGGCTACCAATCTATGCATCTCTCTCACATCGATGTTTCTCTCTCTCTCTCTCCCTCTTTCACTCTGTCTAAAAATCAATGGAGAAATACCCTCTGGTGAGGATTTAAAAAAATATGGTACCCACAATTATGTAGAATACATATTTGCAAACAATAAATGATTATGTTACTGACTCATATATGTGCTGTACTATACTTTTTCTCTCTATTTTAGAGTGTGCTCTTTCTACTTATAAATACAACAGTCTGCTCTGCTTCACCGCAGTGGCCTCATACATCTCGTTTACAGCATCTTTGGATTGCATCACTTTCTCGTGTTTGATCTAATCTTGTGCTGTTTTGTGCAGTAATGTGCTGCACAGGCTGGTAGCCCAGGAGCAGCAGGCTCTGCCCTATTGTCTGGTGTGCAGGAGGTGAGACCATCTAGGTTATGTAAGTGCACACTGTGATGTTCGGAAACAATGAGATTGCCTAACAATGCATTGCTCAGAGTGTATGCCCTCATTAAGTGGGGCATGACTGTGATCACAATTGACAACAGACCAGCAAAGGCCCAAGAACAGAGCCTGTCTCCTCCATCATGCTCCCTGCCATCTCCCCAAAACCTGGTGTAGCACGTCGGGAATGGCAGATGTGTTGGCTGGACGAATAACTCACCTTCCTCAGGACCTTCATGGCATATATTTTGCCCAAGTTGGTGCCCTGCACCTTTCGCACCTGGAACACCTGTGGGGCAGGGAAGACAGGATCAACTTCCCTCTCTACACCCTGTCTTCAGAAGGCGCCACCCCACCCTGAAGCACTGGGACCTCGAGGCTGATGCCACCTAAGGGTGGGGCAGTAAAGATTTCAAGTCCGATTCTAAAAGCATTTGCCCTTCCACCCTTTACGTTTCTGCCTCTGGGTTCTGTGGGAGGCTCCGGATTGACAAGCCTCGTTTGTTGGAAGCCCTGGCGGTGAAGCCTGTGAGGAAGGAGGGGGGCAGTACCTTGCCATAGCCCCCCTTGCCCAGCACACGCAGCAGCTCAAAGCAGTGGGGCCCAATGCGCTCGGGGCCGGGGTTCACACTGGTCTCCGTCAGCTCCACCTCCTCATAGTGGCCCGCGGGCCTGTGGACACAGGAGGGCGATGGGGGCAAGGCTCCCTCCTCCCCCGGTTCCCTTTCCCACTCCCGCCTCCCCCCGCACGACCCTCACTCACTCCAGGGCAGCCGTCCTCAAGTCGGCGAGGGGACACGCGTCCTGTGGGGAACCGAGGGGTCAGAGGCCAGGGAGGTGCAGGACCGCTCCCGCACGAGCTGGGCTGCTCGGCCCAGGAGAGGAAGGGGCGGGAATGGGAGCTGGCAGGTGACGGGCAGGACTGGGAGGAGAGGACGAGAGCAGAAAAGGAAGGATCGGGGGTAGGGCCTGGAAGGCAGGTCGGGGTGGCAGTGGGGAAGGAGCTGAATAGGGGCCGGGATCTGAGAAAGATCGGGGTCTGCAGGAGCGGGGTCCACTCTGATGGGGGGCGCCGAGGCGATCCCAACGGCTGGGTGATGGGATCGGCTCTGGGATCCAGCCGCGCCCGGGAGGACCACTCACCGCAGGGCTGAACTCTGGCTCGCCCTCGCCCTCGCCCTCGCTGCCTTCCTCCGTCTCCAGGTCCAAGTCAAATACGGCCGCCATGGCGGCGCCGGCCCCGCGGGACCCTCGGCGCGTACCAGCGGCTCGGTGACTGACAGCCCGGGCCGGGCCTCAACGTCATCTCTCCGCGACGTCGACGGCGGCCGGCCGCGCGCGCCGATGACGCAAGCACATCTCCCTCCCGAGAGCCGGCCGCTTGGCCCTAGCGAGGAGGAAATATGGCGTCCGCCGCAAGGCCTCTCGGGAGTTGTAGTTCCAGATTACCAGGACGCCCAAACCGGCGGCACCCTCTGTCGAAACCTTCAGTCTTCCCAGCACAGCTCTCCGGGAGAGGCACCGGCCCGGGGCGGCCTGGGAGGCGCCCATCTTGGCTCTTAGAGAGTTTGAATGGGGCAGAGCCGGACGCGCGTACAGGTATGAGTGTAAATGCAGTTCCCAGCCCTGCTGAGCCTTTCGCTGCCAGGCTGGCTGGGTGGCGATTGGCCAGGTCACGTCTCCCATCTGTTCGCCCCTGAAAGGGAGGCGGCTGCATCAGTGTCTCCCTAACGTGCCTCCGTACCTCCGTGTTCTGTCTCCGTGCCTCCGGGTTCCCGGACCCTGCAGGTCAGAGCATTTACTCGGTGACTGCTCCGTGCCCAACTGACTGCCAGGCTTTGTTGCCAGGTTCCTGCCAGAAAGGACTTGTGTCTCATTCATCCACCTGTAAATATAGGCTTCTGTTGGAATTTGCTCCGCTGCCAATTTAAGCACATTTTGTAATCCGGCTACCTGATACGGAATAGGCGCTTAATAAAACTTTGTTAAAAGAATGAATGAATGAACGAACGAACGAACGAACACACCAAACCTGGTCTGTGACTTTAGATTTGGGCATGCATTCTTATTGGATGGGGCTCTGTGGGGGTGAATTGGACCAGATGAGGCCTGGGTGAGTAGATATAAATTCAGATATACAGCTCTCAGGGGTCTCCGTGCTGGAGGAGGGTCATCTGGTTGGATGTGACCCTGTGGGTGTAATTCCACCCTTAGGAGGCCCTCAGGTTTGGGTGCTGGTGTGGATTCTCCTGGCAGGCTCCCACAAAGGTCAGCCCAACAGCCTGGCCAGTGTGGCGGTTGTCCTTAGCTCCAGATGTTACAGGTATCCCCTAGCCACCCCTCACTTCTCCCTTCCCCACAGAGCTGAGCCTGAGAGATGTCCAAGTCGCAAGAACCTATCGCAGACCCTGGACCTTTAAGTAGTCCTTAAGCCTTTATTTGGAGAGGGATGCTTCTGGAGCTGTCCACAGCTCCTATGCTGAGCACACAGGAGCTCTTAAAGCAGCAAGAGTGAGACTCTCCTCTGCCAGTGCTAGTTAGGTGAACCAGAGGCCAAAGCACCTAAGCTTGGGGACGATACATGATGCATGAGGGGCTGTTCACATGTGTGAGGGCCACATATGAGGGCAGGGAGGTTAGCAAGGCCTAGAAGCCGAGTGGGCGGGTAAGACAGTAAAAGCAGGAACCTGGACCCTACACCTTGTCCCTCGACATTCCACCCACTGTGATATGACCTTCAGGCAATGGTTTTTCCTCTTGGAGCCTCTTTCCTCATCTAACGGGTCAGTCATGTCTACCTGGAGGGGAGATGGTAACTGCTGACCTCCGGCCACCTGCTTCTACTGCTCAGGTCAAGTGAGGCAGGTGCAGCCTTGCCAGAAGTTGTCAGCAGGCTCTACAACTGTCCTGGAATTTGTTAAATGCGGGGGTGAGAGTGAGAGGACAGGGCGTTTAGTCTCAGGTTTTCTTGGGATTTGTCCAAGGCCAGGGCCTGCCAGGTTCTCTCCTCCTGTCGATGGCAGGGAGAGAGAGATGCTTGGAGGGGTGGCAGCATGGGCTAGGTTTGGGCACACTCCCACCTCCCTGGAGGTGGTGTGTGTGTGCACACACGCGTGTGCAGCTGTTGTCCTTTCTCCATGGCAAGAGTCCTGGGGTAGCTGTGGGCTGGACTGGGGCCTTTGGGAGGGAAAGAGGGCCCAGTGGCCCCCCAGTTGCTATCTTTTATGGCCCTTAATCCCAGGAGGCCTTGGTGTCAAAATGGCCCTGCCACTCTGGAACGGACCCGAGGCCTAGGAGTGGGCCAGTCTGGGGCTGGGACAGGGCGATGGGTGGAGAGGCAGGGAGAGTGTCAGGAAGCTGAAGGCAGCACGGCGCCCCTCCAGCACTCTGGCCCTGCCCCCTGACACCAGTGCTATTTGAAGTGGGACAGGAAGTGGGCAACGGGGTAGTGGGGCCCATCGATGCCCAGGCCCTGGCAGAGTCCCAGCAGGCGGAGGCGGGCCTCGGCCGGGCTGGGCCCAGCACAGGCCACACTGCAGTAGGGCTCCTCATACTCGCCAGGCACCTGGGCCTCCTCTAAAGATGTAAACTGGCTGAAGCGCAGCAGGCCCCGGTCGTGAAGAGCCTGCAGAGCCTCTTGGCTGGCAGTGGAGCGCAGCACCTGCAGGTGCTGGGACACTAGGCCAGTGACACCCACCAGGTAGCCAGTGGCTCGTGGGTGAGGGGGCACGGCAGGCCGCAGGCCACAGGCCACCATCGCCGCAGCCAGCAGCAGGTCCACGCCGTAGAGCTCCTGGATCCAGTCTCGAAGGTAGAAGCCACCCATGCGGGGGTTGATCTCAATGAGCCGAGGCCCAGCCCCGGTCAGCTTGAGCTCTACATTGAAAACCCCATCCAGCAGCCCGCAGCCCAGGCAGCAGCGGAAGGCCGCCTGCACCAGCTGCGCCTCCTGCTCCGGAGCCAGCCCGGTGGGCATGCAGGCCGCCGTCTCCGTGAAGCCAGGCAGCCGCGTGGGGCCATTGTCAGAGACAAAGGCAGCCAGCAGCTCCCCACGGAACAGCACCACGTCCACATCGTGCTCCGTGCCCTCGATGAACTCCATCAGCAGCATGGAGTTGCCCCAGCCCAGCCCAATGCCAGGGTGATCGGCCTCACCCTGCAGGTCGTGGGCGATGCGTGAAAAGTGCTGGTGGCACTGCCGTGCATCCTCCACCAGCCGCACGCCCACTGCGCCCGCTCCAAACTCCAGCTTCATGACCCCGGGCAGGGGCACCTGGCGGACAGCCCTCTCCACGTCAGCCTCACTCTCCAGGGGGCAGCAAGGCACAGCATGGAGGGAGGGCGAGGGCCAGGGTGGGCCTTGGCGTCGCAGCAGGTGCAGTTGGGTGCGGCTCTTCTGCTTGGCCAAGCGCATGGCAGCCGGGGGGCTGCAGGGCAGACCCAGCTCCTGGCAGAGCAAGGCTGTGAGCACCAGGCAGTCGTCCCAGTAGGAGAAGCAGCCATCTAGCTGCAGGCCACGTGCCCGCACCAGCTCCGCCAGCAGCCGTGCATTCTCCTCATCCCTCCGGTGCTCCGTCACATCAAAGTGGATGAAGGTCTGCACCAGCTGGGAGGCGAAGTGGTTGGGGTCTGACTCCACCAGGTGCAGCTGCAGAAACCACAGGAAGGCAACACATTCAGATCAGCCCGTGCCGGCCGCTGAGGAAACAGAATGGAGCCCAGAAGGTGGTCTTGACCCTCAAGGGAGATGGGTTTACCAACATTAGGTGCTCAAGAAATAATCGATGATGACTGAGTAGACGGGAGGTGCAGAGGTGGGGCATGTAACCCAGCCTGGAGGGGAGAGAAAGCACCTAGAAGAGGCGGTGCTTAAGCTGGGAGCCGGATAAGAGCCAGCCAGAGGAAAGAAGGCTGCAGGAGGGCGAGGGCAGAGGGGTGGGGTGCGAGGGCAAGTGTCCGCATTCCCGCAGGCAGCCTCACTCGGCCAGGATTTGTAGGGAAGCCACCAGGTCTGGGGCTCGGGACAGGCGGTCCGGTGTCTTTGGGGCATTATGCTCTTGGCCGCCATTTATCCAATGTGCTCTGACACTGGGAGATACGCACAGAAGAACCCAGTGGGGCCCACACCTCCAAAGCTCACTGCCCGCTGGGGGGAGGGGGGGGGCAGACAAAGCAGCTGGTACCCCGGGCAGAGCAGCCCCTGCAGAGGGCAGGGAGGGTGGCTGTCTGCACTGTAACATGTGAGGAGTGAAGAGGCATCCGGGTGACTGTGTGTGCAAGGCAGGGAACACAGAGGCACAGGGATGGCTGGGGAGGGGGAGCAGTGTACTGTGGGAGGGGGAGTAGTGTGAGGCCACTGTGTAGGTGGGGACCAGGAAGAGCCTAGATATTTGGCCTCCGTTTTTTATCTGCTCAATGGGGATAAGAATGCCTACTCTGCCTGCACGGCTCCAGAGTCTGTAACGAGGCCACTGCTGTGAACCTGACTCGGGATCTGTAAGCTGCTCCCAGCTCCCTCCTGGTGGTGCCCTCGGGATTCAGTCTCAAAGGAGGCGCCTGCCCTTTCTGCAGGCTCCTTAGCCCCGCATTCCCAGCCCGGTGCTGGCGCTAATCCCGAATGCGGCCCCCGCGCCTCCAGCCTGTCTACCCTGGGCTCCGCGTAGAACTGCGGGGACAGAGCCCGGCCCAGCGCGGCTCAGTGGTCGAGCATCGCCCTATGAAACAGGAGGTCGTGGTTTGATTCCGGTCAGGGCACGTGCCGGGGTTGCGGGCCGGTCCCCAGTGCGGGGCGTGCAGGAGTCAGCCCATCAATGATTCTCTCTCATCATTGATGTTTCTCTCTCACTCTCTCTCTCTCCCTCCCTCCCTTTCCCTTCCGCTCTGAAATCAATAAAAAATAAAAATTAAAAAAACTGCGGGGTGCGGGGACAGAACCGGGCTAGACTTCCCTGGGCCAGGCGGCTGGCTCGGCCCCTAGGACTGGGGTCCAGCGCCCCAGAGAGATCGCCGGGAGCAGACCCCACCCCTGAGGCTGCCCCGCCCCTAGACCCGCCCCCCCCACCCTGAATTCGGATAGCGAATTTTATGTTAGATTCAAACTGCGTAGCTACTCTGGTATAAAGGTCCTGAGCAAGAAAAATTGTCTCCATAAACACCACCAGTATATAAGATTAGTCGCCCCTCAGCAGGAAGGGTAGACCTGTGCTAACCGAAGTCCCGTACCCTTTCGCTCGTATA